GCTGGCCTGTCGAAGCGGGACCGTGCAGGGCCTTCATACCACGGTGGGCCTACAGCGCGAGCTGCGCCAGTGTGAGCGCATCATATACGGCGGCTGCGGCGGCAACGACAACAACTGAGTCGGAGGCGCTTGCCGAGCGCGGTGCGGGGGAGGGCAGGCGCCCGCGGCGTCGTGTCCGAGGGGCCTCTCGAATCTGTTTCTTCTGTCCCGAACAAGCCGTCTGCGAATCGAATGCCAACTGCAGCACGGATTCCTCTGCTGTCCCGGACCGCGCGCGTGCCAAGGAAGGAAGATCTGCGCCGAAGCGGGAGACCTCGCCTCGTGAGTTACGGCCGTGAGCACGGCCAACGCTTGCGCACCGTAGCGGCCGAGCCCAGAAGACCCTTCACTGTCTATATAGATTTACACTGCAGCATGCTTACTCACGTATTGTGGATTGCGGCATGCCGGATGCCATGTTTTAACCACTAACCTCCACAAATTCGCCTCACTAATTCTAAATCGTGCATTCGAAAATTATTTGAAGGTTATTTAGAATGTTGTCTCTGCCCGCTCCATTCAGTAATTTAACGGTGAATGGCTTCCTAATTTAATTACAAGATATTTTTTGTTGTAGCACCGGTATATAACCCGTGCCGTACCGGAGAACCGATACCAGACCCCAGCTCATCTGTTGGATCTAGGACTTGCTCGTCTCGCACCCCATGTCCTCTGGCATACTCTGCAGATACAGAATTTGGCAGCAGAGCCAGCAGTTATGCTTGTCCCTCCACCTTGTTAGTTTCACGCAGCAGCCTCAGACTCCTGGTTTTGTAATACACGCGAGTACGACCCACAGTGCGGTAGCGATGGTGTGACATACAGCACCCTTGTGAGCTGAACTGTGCCAGAGAGAAAAACCAAGATTTGACCACAGATTCCCGTGGGCCCGTGTGGAAAGAAATGGTGAGAATCTGTGCAACTGGCATTCATGAGAGGGGGCCAATATCAATAGACGTTTTGTATGTTCATGTGTGGTACAATTATGTACTGATTCTATACCCCAGTATTGTACAGCGGTGACGGCTGCTGCTACTTTAATAAGTAACATGTTTTTCACTTATTTTTTTAGCTTGAACCGATCCACCACCAACACCACCATTACCACCACCACCACCACCACCAGCACCACCACCACCACCACCACCACCACCACCACCACCACCACCACCAACACCACCATCACCACCACCACCACCACCACAATCACCTCCACCACTACCACCACCACCACCACCACCAGCACCACCACCACCACCAGCACCACCACCACCATCACCACCATCAGAAGCAGCAGCAGCAGTCCTACTACCACCACCACTACTAACATGTTCAGCGATAGTGAGAATTCTTTTTACATATTATTACGAATTATTTCAACATATTCGTTAACCAATCCGTCTCGCCCGTCGTCTAGTCTCGTTTCAATTGGTCGGCCAGTAGGTTCAGTAGTATAGAGGATTCTTTGCCCAACCATGTACAAGTTTTCAAGGTCAGTTACTGAGTTTCAAGTACTGTGTGATCACTGGTGATAGATACGTCACATCTTCAGTCGTGTGGGAAGGCGATTTTGATGTCTGATCCGTCTGTCTTCGGATATGTTGTGGGAAAAATAGCACGTGCTAATATGTACCTTTGTGTTACTTCGAAAGATATACGCACAAACGCGTGCATTAATGTCTTATTTGAGGTAAACATTCGGTGCTCGCAATCGCAAATGACAACGGCGTTTTTAAAAACGTGAAGCTGAAACAACGGCCACTAATACCGTTGTGTACGTTCACCGGTATAACCAAACCAACTGCCTCTTTCACGGTTGCTTGATTGCACGCAGGCGTCACCGACACACGCGACGAGATCTGCGCTCTACCCTCGGTGACCGGTCCGTGCCGCGCCGCGTTCCGCCGCTGGTACTTGAACTCGCAGTCGGGACTGTGCGAGCGATTCATCTACGGAGGTTGCCGGGGCAACGAAAACAACTTCGAGACGCAGGAGGAGTGCAACGCGCGCTGTGGAAGAGGTGAGTTGGACGACGACGACGACGACGACGACGAGGATGGTGCGGAAGAGGATGCTTGCGAGTTGCGGCCGGAGGCGGGTCCCTGCAAGGCGCGAATCACGCGCTGGTACTACAGTCCCGACCACGAGCGCTGCGGCCAGTTCTATTACGGCGGCTGCAATGGCAACAGTAACAACTTTGCCAGCAACGAGGAGTGCATGGCTCAGTGCCACGAAGATTAGGTGGTTCTGCCTGCGACGTGGTTGACTAGGGAGGGCAGTTCGAGCTGCTGCGTGGGGCCTGTACGTGTGGTAGCGAGCTGTGTGCGTGCGTGCATGTGCGTGCGTGCGTGCGCGTGTGTGTATCTTTAGGATGTTTGTATCGAGCTTACATGTTACTCTTATAAAGATTCTTTTTGTTTGTGACGACGCAAAAGTACGGTGTCGAAATAAATTTACGGTGCTTATTTGTTACGTCTAAGATTAGAAGAGAGGTTCTGTATGTATTTGCCGATTGAGAACAATTCTCTGTGCAATTTTTCGAATGTCTAGGTAATTGAGTTGATACGTCGATGGAGAACCGTAATACGTAGTACAAATTAGTAGAGACGTCATCTTTATACTTGATGTGGCAAGTATTCATAGTCATTGGCAACCACGAATTATGTCTGCTGCATGCGGATGACGGTACGTATTCCAGGAACATTTCACTCTACTATAGCCCTGGCAAAGTTATGTATGGGGGAGTGCCCTAATTTTGTTAAAGAATCGTGTAATTTTTGCAAACATGGGCAAATATGGCGGGAACTGACGAAAGGATTCGTTGGTAACCATTTCTTTTTCAACGTGCGTTTTAATAATGTTGCAATGTAATAATGTTTAAACCCTTTTTAACATTTTAATTTTTAATGCCGAGAAAAAGAAAGTTTTCGCAGATGTTCTGATTAACCTATAAATAATTTTATGGTAATATATGTGTGTCTCATATAAATACAGATTGTCATGGAAATTACATGCTAATATCCTACTACTAGCAGGCCGCAGGTATAAAGATTTGATTGGTATCAAGAGTCCATAATAGCAAATTTTCTCGGACTCTTGATAGTATATGGTTTCAAAATCACGACAATTATGATTCAATGTCAGACTCCTTCAGATTGCCAATTATGTAAGCTTTCCAATACATACGTCATATTGTGTATCTCGTGTAATAATCGTATGTATTTGGACAAAAGTAAATTTTAGTAATATAGATTCATCCAACTGAAGATTATATGCAGTCAGGTGGAGTGAATATCTCAACACCGGTCTTCGACTGGACGTCCACCACAGTATATATTGTAAATTTGTTTGGATTCATAATCGGATTGGGTATATTGTCCTTCAAACACCTATGTTTGTAGCCAAACTGAATTTTGTGATCAACAGTAAACTTGGTACACGTACATACGCTGCAATATATATATATATATATATATATATATATATATATATATATATATCTATATACGTGCGTGCGTGCGTACATACATACATGTATACATACATACGCATGCGTACGCATGATTTCTTTTTAACAGATCTCTTGTTTATCTGTATTTGGTGGTTGGAACTGATTTGTTGGTTTATTTTATATTATCGACTCTTGTATAAACTGTAAGTAGGCAGTTAACTTTTCTCATAGCTATACTGTGCTGAAATATATCTACTACTTTCATGTAATATAACAAAACGACAAATAATGTTGTTAGTTTAACATTCCAAAAATGGTGTCAGTTTTCCTTTTCGATTTTTTTTGTTTAGCGATCATACGTGCAAGTATTTTGTAGTGATAAATATACGCTCTGACGTTATTTTAATCTTGGTGTATCCTGGTTTCTTATTCTTTGTCTGTTCTCAACAATTGTTGCACTCTTTATGTGTAATAGTATTAAACTAGCTATTCACTCATTAAACACTCACTTGTAAGCAATAATTGCATGAATTACAATCTTTAATGCGTGCGCCAAACAAAATAAATCAAATCAAATAAACAGTATTTTTCGGCACAAACAATATTCATTTGTGTTTAACGCAATGCGTTATCGTGTCAGAAATTGTGGTCAATGAACCAATTTCAGGTTTTAGATTTATTTGTACTACATAAATAGGGTGAGAGTGCGTGCAAGAGCAGTCAAAAATACGTGCCTCAACCGATGCGCTCGCCCTTGAAAACAATGTCTAAGCAAAAAACACAATCCAAAGCATGAAACGAGAGGTAAAGAAAGCGTACAATTACGGCACATGTCAAATATACAATATGTGAATTTATCCGGATTATATAGTTTGGGGAGATATACGATAGGGGTGGGGCTCCGTTTGTGCTGCTTCTGAATGAAGCATAGAAGAAGTGCCCTACCAGCTAATGTGGAAACGCTATCTGTCTAATGACCTGCTGGCCCTTAGATTGAGGCATAAATATATTAATTTATATACGTATATATATATAATGTATTTGTAGACGTATAATGGTGGGGGGAAACTGAGACTTGTGCAGGTAGATGTATCGGAGATGGTAGAGAGGGGAGAATGTGGAGACAGGGAAGAGGGGAGAATGTGGAGACAGTAGGAAAGAGGGGAGAATGTGGAGACAGTAGGGAAGAGGGGAGAATGTGGAGACAGTAGGGAAGAATGGTTAATGTGGAGACAGTAGGGAAAAGGGGAGAATGTGGAGACAGTAGGGAAAAGGGGAGAATGTGGAGACAGTAGGGAAGAGGGGAGAATGTGGAGACAGTAGGGAAGAATGGTTAATGTGGAGACAGTAGGGAAGAGGGAAGAATGT